CTTGTTGAATAAGTTATGACACAAGTGCTCATCCATTTTTGTGAAGTTCTGACTTTTCCTTTAGGATTTATAGGCTTTTGGGTGCATTTTGTCATGCCCCCTTTTGTAAATGACCCTGTTATAGCAAAACAAATGACAAAGTTCAACTTTTTTTGATAATTATTGATCTAGAGAGTCCAAAAAATTGTCCTAGACTGGTCTGGGTCCGATCGGGCGAAAAACCAGGGACTAGTTTGCAAAAGTACGTTTTTAACATATTCGTGAATATTTAACGAACGATTTGATTTACAGCAATGGTTCTTGAGGCAAAGTTGTTCAGCATGAGGAGATCTATCAATTGATATACATATTGTGGGGGTGTGTGCAACACCACGTGATAACAGAGCCATAAAACTCGTTAGCGCCAACTAGTGGCCGATTTTTTTCAAAATTCTTACAGACCTCTAGGGCCATGAGTCGAACATGCCCATCGAGTTTCGTTCCGATGGGCCTCCGTTAACCTTGTCTCACAGGTGCTCAAACTTCATTGGCCGATGGCGGCCATGTTTTTTTACATACGCCAATGTCCTCATAGATATACATGGGGCCTTGGTCCAAGACACTGCATACCAATTTTCAAGTCAATCGGACTAACGGTCATGTGGTCATAGCCCTTTTATGTTTTTTTCATGTTATAGCGCCACCTAGTGTTCAATCGTCGCTATTTTTTTACTGTGACCTCAAATTGAACTCGTACATATGTGTACCGAGTTTGGTGAAGATATCTCATTTACTTCTTGAGTTATAGCCAATTTAGTAAAATAGGCTCCTCCCACAACGTTTATTTTGCTTCCCCTAGCGACCGGAAATAGAAATTTCAACATTTTTTTGATAATTATTGATCTTCAGACTCCAGAGAACATTTCTGCACTGGTTTGGTTCCGATCGGGCAAAAAACCAGGGACTAGTTCGCAAAAGTAGTTTTTCGACAAAATTCAAAATGGCGGAAAAATTTCCATACCGGAAATGAAATCGGAGATATACGTTTTTTTCGTCAGGTGACCAGCTTTCCAATGATATAAGACACTTGAGTGTACGACTTACGGTCTAGGAGTTATGAGCCGTTTCGCGCAATTGGTCGCTATAGCGCCACCTATGGGCCAATCGGGCTCATAATTTGATAACCTCTCCTCGATTTTTGTACTACCATCTGACAAAGTTTCAGAGCTCCAGCACTTACGGTTTGGGCTGCACGATGCGTTTTAGGGGAGAATAATAATAATAATAATAATAATAAAAATCAATACAATTACAATAGGGTTTCAGCACTTCGTGCTTGAACCCCTAATTAAAGCTGCAAGCAGCATTTATCGGTGTTCAAGCAGTTCAGACCTTTAAGACCTTTAAGCACAAAAGCATCAAAAGGCATTCAGTTTTATATAACACACATTTATCCGCTGACATAATAGATGGAAAACACCATTTACAGCCAATATAGGCAATTTACCATTGGAAATACATGGTTATAAAGCTTTTTAACTGTTATAGCGCCACCTATAGTCCGATCTCCATGAAACTGTGCATGCTTCTTCAGCATGTTATGACACATATGCTCATCAATTTTTGTGAAGTTCTGAGTTTTCCTTAAGGATTTATAGGCTTTTGGGTGCATTTTGTCCCGCCCCTTTTGTAAACGACCCTGTTATAGCAAAACAAAAGTAGAATCTCAACATTTTTTTGATAACTATTGATTTAGAGAGTCCAAAGAATTATCCTAGACTGGTCTGGTTCTGATTGGGCGAAAAACCAGGGACTAATTCGCAAAAGTAGGTTTTTAACATATTCGTGAATATTTAACGAACGATTTGATTGACAGCAATGGTTCTTGAGGCAAAGTTGTTCAGCATGAGGAGATCTATCAATTGATATACATATTGTGGGTGTGTGTGCAAACCACGTGATTACAGAGCCATAAAACTCGTCAGCGCCAACTAGTGGCCGATTCCTTTCAAAATTCTTACAGACCTCTAGGGCCATGAGTCGAACATGCCCAACGAGTTTCGTTCCGATCGGACCTTCGTTAACCTTGTTTCATTGGTGCTAAAACTTCATTGGCCAATGGCGCCCATGTTTTTTGAGATACGCCAATGTCCTCATACACATACATGGGCCCTTGGACCAAGACACTGCATACCAATTTTCAAGTCAATCGGACTAACGGTCAGGTGGTTATATGTTTTTTTCATTTTATAGCGCCACCTAGTGTTCAATCGTCGCGATTTTTTTACTGTGACCTCAAATTGAACTCTTACATATGTGTACCGAGTTTGGTGAAGATATCTCATTTACTTCTCGAGTTATAGCCATTTTAGTAAAATAGGCTCCTCTCACAACGTTTATTTTGCGCCCCCTAGCGACCGGAAATAGAAATTTCAACTTTTTTTCGATAATTATTGATGTTCAGACTCCAGAGAACATTTCTGCACTGGTTTGGTTCCGATCGGGCGAAAATCCAGGGACTAGTAAACAAAAGTAGTTTTTCGACAAAATTCAAAATGGCGGAAAAATTTGCATACCGGAAATGAAATCGGAGATATACGTTTTGTTCGTCAGGTGACCAGCTTTCCAATGATATAAGACACTTGAGTGTACGACTTACGGTTTAGGAGTTATGAGCAGTTTCGCGCAATTGGTCACTATAGCGCCACCTATGGGCCAATCGGGCTCATAATTTGATAACCTCTCCTCGATTTTTGTACTACCATCTGACAAAGTTTCAGAGCTCCGGCTCTTACGGTTTGGTCTGCACGATGCGTTTTACGGCGGAAGAAAAATAATAATAATAATAATAATTAAAGCTGCAAGCAGCATTTAGCGGGGTTCAAGCAGTTCAGACCTTGAAGGCCTTTAAGCACAAAAGCATCAAAAGACATTAAGTTTTAAGTTTCAATAATGGCAATTTACCATAGGGTGTCCATTGTTTTAACATTTTTAACATTTATAGCGCCACCTATAGTCCGATCTACATGAAACTTTGCATGCTTGTTGAATAAGCTATGACACATGTGCTCATCAATTTTTGTGAAGTTCTGACTTTTCTTGTAGGATTTATAGGCTTTTGGGTGCATTTTGTCACGCCCCCTTTTGTAAATGACCCCGTTATAGCAAAACAAATGTCAAAGTTCAACTTTTTTTTGATAATTATTGATCTAGAGAGTCCAGAGAATTGTCCTAGACTGGTCTGGTTCCAATCGAGCAAAAATCCATGGACTAGTTCGCAAAAGTAGGATTTTGACATATTTGTGAATATTTAACGAACGATTTGATTGACAGCAATGGTTATTCAGGCAAAGTTGTTCATCATGAGAAGATCTATCAAATGATATGCATTTTGTGGGGATATGCGCAACACCACGTGATTACAGAGCCATAAAACTCGTTAGCGCCAACTAGTGGCCGATTTTTTTCAAAATTCTTACAGACCTCTAGGGCCATGAGTCAAACATGCCCATCGAGTTTCGTTCCGATCGGCCTTCGTTAACCTTGTTTCATAGGTGCTCAAACTTCATTGGCCGATGGCGGCCATGTTTTTTGAGATACACCAATGTCCTCATACACATACATGGGGCCTTGGTCCAAGACACTGCATTACCAATTTTCAAGTCAATCGGGACTAACGGTCATGTGCTCATAGCCCTTTTTATGTTTTTTCATGTTATAGCGCCACCTAGTTTTCAATCGTCGCTATTTTTTTACTGTGACCTCAAATTGAACTCTTACACATGTGTACCGAGTTTGGTGGAGATATCTCATTTACTTCTCGAGTTATAGCCATTTTAGTAAAATAGGCTCCTCCCACAACGTTTATTTTGCTTCCCCTAGCGACCGGAAATAGAAATTTCAACATTTTTTTGATAATTATTGATCTTCAGACTCCAGAGAACATTTCTGCACTGGTTTGGTCCCGATCGGGCAAAAAACCAGGGACTAGTTCGCAAAAGTAGTTTTTCGACAAAATTCAAAATGGCGGAAAAATTTTGCATACCGGAATGAAATCGAGATATACGTTTTTTTCGTCAGGTGACCAGCTTTCCAAATGATATAAGACACTTGAGTGTACGACTTACGGTCTAGGAGTTATGAGCAGTTTCGCGCAATTGGTCGCTATAGCGCCACCTATGGGCCAATCGGGCTCATAATTTGATAACCTCTCCTCGATTTTTGTACTACCATCTGACAAAGTTTCAGATCTCCAGCCCTTACGGTTTGGTCTGCACGATGCGTTTTACGGCAGAATAATAATAATAATAATAATAAAAATCCTTACAATTACAATAGGGTTTCAGCACTTCGTGCTTGAACCCCTAAAAATCAGTACAATTACAATAGGTTTTCAGCACTTCGTGCTTGAACACCTAATAATAATAAAAATCAGTACAATTACAATAGGTTTTCAGCACTTCGTGCTTGAACACCTAATGATCATTTTGACGGAAGTGAATCAATCAAAACTAAGTTTAGCAGGAAAATAGCATTCAAAGCAAACAGTAGGGGTAAAGGAGCGCTTCCTGGATTTCAAAGTTTGGTTAAAATAGAGGTGCTCTTTGGATGGGACACTGTATATGATGAAAAAGCAAGAGAACTCCAAGAAAAAGCAAGAGAACTCCAAGGCACTCTCAAGTGGAAAAGTTAAAAAGCCTTTATTATTATGGCTTGGTCAAAATAACCATCTAAAAAACTCCAATGCGTTTCGGCTACATGCTTTCTTCTGGGACTCCCATAATAATAGAGCCATAATAATGAAAGGCTTTTTAACTTTTCCACTTGAGAGTGCCTTGGAGTTTTCTTGCTTTTTGGAAAATAACATTATTCAAGAACCGCTATAAAACCAAACCAATCTCAGTGACCTTAAATTATATGTTTATCTCCGTAAAGCTGCTTTGAAACAATCTAGATTGTTAAAAGCACTATATAAATGAGGATGACTTGACTTGACACACATCTCTTTGTGCTCAACATACTTGAATTTGTCCAGTGTGCAGTTTGGATCCTCCAGTTTTTCAGAGAGCAGCATGATTCCTGAATCTCCTGGGTGATTGTAGCTCAGATCCAGCTCTTTCAGGTGTGAAGGATTAAAACTCAGAGCTGAGGACACATAACCACAGCCTTTCTCTGTAACCATACAGCCAGACAACCTGCAAAGACACACAACAACAGTCCATTAGATTGGCTTTCATACAGTAATTTGTGCAGCTTGCTTTTGAAGTTCATTTAAGAACATGAACAAAGAATTTCTACATTGTAACTAAACACCAACTGGACATAATAAAGTTATGTGTAAGATCAACGCTGGGCTTAGCCATGTTTAGGATTCCCATAAATATTAACTGTTATGAAACTCACATCTTGAGTTTCATAACAGTCTTAGGTCAATAAAGTCCTTGAAGTGGATCCTCAAGAAAAAGGATCGGAGGATCGGGCGGCTGTCGAAGGCAGGGGCCTCAACGACCTGATCCCTGGACACGGAAACTAGCCTTAGAAAAAGTCAATGTGATGTAGAAATCCTTAATCCCACCTCAGATAAAGAAACTTATTGAGAAGGGTAACAAACACAAATCAGTGCCACAGTAGCAGTATATCATTGCCACACAGCTAGTGATGTAACCTTTGAAATGAGGTATCGGAGCTTGTGTTGGAAATAAATTGGCATACCAGATAAAGCCTAAATTCGAGGCTTGTGTTAACGTAGATATCATATTATGATAAATGAGAATTTGGTTTGTGTAAAATACGTCGCCTCATGCATACCTATTAGCCTCCTAAATGCAGATGATAAGATTTTAGTCAAACTTTTAGCTTCTCGTTTTGAGGGAATACTTCCTAGTATTATCTCAGAGAAACCAACCGGATTTATGAAAGGACGGTATTCATTTTCTAATGTCCATTCTCTTTTTAATATTTTATACTCCAGACAAAACAATAGCTCCTCCGAGGTGATCATCTCATTAGAAGCCGAAAAGGCATTTAACAGGACAAAATAGGCTTATCAGTTTAGGACATTAGAGGAGTTTTGGGGATGGATTGATTTCATGGATACGTTTGTTATAATAGATAAACGTAACATAACAGATGCTGACCCTCAAGCTTCAATTTATACTAATAATGTTAAATCTGAGTATTTTGCTTTATCACAAGGTACACACCAGGGATGCCCCCATCTCCATTACTTTTTGCCATAGCCAATGAGCCCCTTTCAATAATGCTTAAAACACTTCCGGTACTTTAGGGAATAACGCTTCCATTATATCCGATAGGTAGGATAAATGCAGCTAAAATTAACATTCTGCCAAAATTTCTTTACCTCTTTCAAGCTATTCCTCTGTTTCTACCCAAACTTTTCTTCAAAAATATACAAAAGGTAATCTCCTCTTTTATATGGGCAGGAAAACTCCTAGAGTTTCCAAAATTCTGCTATAAAAAAGTCAACTAAGTTGGGGGCTTTCCTTGCCCAACTTTATGTATTATTATTGGATTACAGAAGAACCAAACAACAATGCTTTATTACCACCAAAGAAACGTCTGAAGTCGGAATTCTATATTTTAGCTAAACACTCCATGGCCGTGTACAGGTAGTCTGCCGCCAAATCTTTCTTGGGGTAAGCGTAAGGTAACAAATCCATGAGATCTTGGTCCTCCCAGGTAACTAAATATGGGACAAAATATCGGATTAAAAAAAAGGCAATATTGGATCAAATCCTCAACATGCACCTCTAAACTGCAACCATCTTGATCAATGGAATACATAATCTCCTCTACTGATCTTTTCTTGGATGACCAGTTTATACTGGAAGCAAAAGGCCCTGCAGAGTTTCACTTATGGTCCGGTCTCTACTGCTGCTAGATCTAATTGGAGGTCAGTTCTTCTGTTACGATTGATTTCAGCAATGGATGAAATAGAAACCCCAAACTACAACAAAACAGAATCTTGGGTACAACAATCAATCAAACACCAGAAACAAACAGGCAGGGGGCGGAGGAAAACAGAACTGAAATAAACAGATATTGCCTTAATAATCAGAATGCTTTAGATTTGTTGACCAAAAATGTATAAACAATTCTTATAACAATTATGTGTATAAATAAATGTATTTGAAAATACAACATTTGCATTCGCAAACATTTTGAAGCCAAAATTATTTTATGGAAAACCATTTACCTCAGTATCTCCAGTTTACAGTTTGGACTCTTCAGACCATCAGAAAGCAGCTTCACTCCTGAATCCTGCAGGTCATTGTTACTCAGGTCCAGCTCTCTCAGAACAGAGTTTGAAGATTGTAAAACTGAAGACAAACTTTCACAAGACTGAGCTGTGAGATTACAGCACTGTAGCCTGTGAAGAGAACAAAACAAACAGCAACAGTAATATGTTTATAATCTGTAGCTTGAAAAAAACCTTCAACTAGTGATGTAAGCAAAGCTAAAACAATTTTCTTTAAAAAACATAAACATAAAAACAGTATTTATCACATACATTTCCATATCTGTTTCTGAACACTCTTTGCCAACAAGTAAAATCAAGGGACAAATAAAACGACTACCAGTGTTTATAAATGAATGTAAAGGAGACTCTTACAGTGCTCTTCTGGTGTTTTTGATCACTGGCAGCAGTCTCATCACTGCTTCATCAGATCTTCTGTATTTCTGCAGTTCAAACTTCTCTTGAGTCTCTTCTGACATCAGGAGCACAAACACCAGACCAGACCACTGAGCAGAGGAGAGATTCTGTGCTGAAAGATTTCCTGAGCTCAGATTCTTCTGGATTTCCTCTACAAAGTCATCGTTCAGTTCGCTCAGACAGTGGAAGAGATTGATGGTCCTCTCTACTGATTCCTCCTTCGCTATTTTCTTTTTGATATAGTCAATAGTGTCTTCAACAGTCTCTGTTTTGAGCTCCAGTCCTGGCAGTAGTTCCTTCAGGTCACTCTGATTGGACTCCAGTGACAGACCCAGAAGGAACCTGAGGAAAAGGTCCAGGTGTCCATTCTCGCTTTGTAAAGCCTTATTGACTGCAACCTTATGAAGCTGAAACAGTGGCTTTTTGGACAGTTTCCATTCCAGTTTTTCTTTCAAGGATTGAGGAAAAAGGTCAGCTTTCTCATCTTTGCCCATCAAAAACACATAGAGAGCAGCAAGGAATTCCTGGACGCTAAGATGTACAAAGCTGAAAACACTTCTTGCTGAAACAGTTTCCTTCTGGAAGATCGGAGTGCATAACTCAGATTGCACTGAACCATCACTGACATCGAGTCCACACTTCTCAAGATCTTCTTTGTAGAAAATCAGGTTTCCTTTCTCAAGCTGTTGAAAGGCCAGTTTCCCAAGCTTCAGAATAATCTGATCAAAAGACACTGCATTTGCTTTAGGTTCAGAGGCACCACAGAATTTTTTTTCCATCTGTTGCTTCTGAGAAATTAAGAAATTTGTGTACATCTCTGTGAGAGTTGTTAGTGTTTTGTCATTGCTCTTTCGAGCCAGTAGAGGCTGAAGAACAATAAGAGAGATCCAGCAGAAGACGGGTATATGGCACATGATGTACAGACTCCTGGATTTCTTGATGTGACTGATGAGGTTTCCAGCGACCTCAGGACTGCTGTTTTTAAAGAAGTATTGCTCTTTCTGCTCATCATTAAATCCTCGCACCTCTGTCACTTGATCAATGTAGTCACGGGGTATCAAACTGGCTGCTGCTGGTCTGGATGTGATCCAGATGAGAGCAGAGGGAAACAGGTGTGTCTTTATCAGGCTTGTAACTATCTTACTCACTGTTGTTTTTTTCTGAACATCTGTTATTCTGTCACCCTCTTTAAAGCTCAAAGGGAAGCGACATTCATCCAGGCCATCAAAGATGAACATAACTTTGCCATCACCTTCAGGAAGAGATGGCAGTTCTTCAGTACCATTAAAGACATATTTGTTTAGCAGTCCCATGAGACTGCAGTCATTAGTGATCAAATTTAGCTCACGGAACGGCAGAGGAAAAATGAAAGCCATATCCTTATTTTCTTTTCCTTCAGCCCAGTCAAAGATGAATTTATTGACGGAGACAGTTTTTCCTACCCCAGCGATCCCCATTGTCAGCACCTTTCTGTTTTTTTTTTTTTTTACAGTTTTAGTAACTGTTTAAAGCCATTTTGAAAATTCAATCTTCATATAGTCCATTCCCTTCCCTTCACCCCAAACAATATTTACAATGCTGTAAAAAAATATCACATTACTGCAAATGTTTTGTCTCTCTGAGTCTCCGCTTACCTTGCTTATTGGCGGCTTACCTTGCTTATTGGTTAAGTCAGCCTCTGATTATAGCATAGTTCGTTATTGTAAAACATTTACCTCAGTATCTCCAGGTGACAGTTTGGACTCTTCAGTCCATCAGAAAGAAGCTTCACTCCAGAATCCTGCAGGTCATTGTTACTCAGGTCCAGCTCTCTCAGGAAGGAGTTTGAGGATTGAAGAACTGATGATAAACTCTCACAGGTCTGAACAGTGAGATTACAGCTGTGTAGCCTGTATGGAGAACAAAACAAAAAGTTTTGGTAATGCTTATTTGCGTTTATAATCTGGAGCTTGAAAAAACCTTTAAATGTAGTGAATTAACCAAAGCTAACACAATTATCTCTTCATAAAAAATCAAACCAGCATTTATTTTCACACGCATTACATTTATTCATTTTTATGAACAGTCACTCATTGAAAATGAAGGCAATTGCAAAAGACTAAAGCCCGGAACACACCAAGCCAATGCCAATGAACTAACGCTGATGAAAGCAGACTGTGTTGTCGCCTGACGTCCGTTCTCGTCGAGGTAAAAAGCTGCACTTGAACACACCGAGAGAACTACAGCCAACTGTCAGCTAAAATGTGCATTCTGCGCCTGCGTGTAATGAGACAACTGTCTATTTCTGCGGATATATTAGTCTATATTCGTCATTCAAAAAGGAAAACCGGCGCTGCCAGCTGCAGATACACATAACGTAAACAAAGCAGCGCGTGCTTACCGTTTTGAATATCAATCCTGCTAAACACTTTCTTTATTCCACTCCGCTCATGTTAATATTGATATATTCGCTAAGGAACACTCAGGTAAGTAACATAAGAACAGCCTTCTATCTTTACCGTTTTGACTTCTTTGCTTTCTGTTTTGCTTTTATTCTTGTGCACTGACTCTTTCACTAAGCTAAACAGCCAATCAGACTTCTCTCTTTCCCTAACGGCCCGACGCCTATTCAACATGTCGAATCGGGAGAAATAAAGCCAACGAGGACTATTTTTAGCCAACGGCCCGGAACCGTGCGTATCACACCGAGGAGACTTAGTTGGCCAACGTACAAAATCTGCCAGACGGCCGACCGTCGGCTTGGTGTGTTCAGGGCTTAACAGTGTTTATAAATGAATGTAAAGGAGACTCTTACAGTGCTCTTCTGGTGTTTTTTATCACTGGCAGTAGTCTCATCACTGCTTCATCAGATCTTCTGTATTTCTGCAGTTCAAACTTCTCTTGAGTGTCTTCTGACATCAGGAGCATGTACACCAGACCAGACCAGTGAGTAGAGGAGAGATTCTGTGCTGAAAGATTTCCTGAGCTCAGGTATTTCTGGATTTCCTCCACAAAGTCATCTTTCATTTCACTCAGACAGTGGAAGAGATTGATGGTCCTCTCTACTGACTCCTCCTTCGCTATTTTCTTTTTTATATAGTCAACAGTGTTTTTCATGCCCCCTGTTCTGAGTTCCAGTCCTGGCAGTAGTCCCTTCAGGTCACTCTGATTGGACTCTAGACCCAGGAGGAACCGAAGGAAAAGGTCCAGGTGTCCGTTCTCACTCTGTAAAGCTTTCTTGACTGCAGCATTATGAAGCTGAAACAGTGGCTTTTTGGACAGTTTCCATGCCAGTTTTTCTTTGCCGGACTGAAGAAATAGGTCAGCTTTCCCATCTTTGCCCATCATAAACACATAAAGAGCAGCAAGGAATTCCTGTACGCTGAGATGTACAAAGCTGTAAACGTTTCTTGCTGCTATCTTTTCCTCCTGAAACATTCGAGTGCATAACCCAGAGTACAGTGACCCTTCCCTGACATCGAGTCCACATTCCTCAAGATCTTCTTTGTAGAAAATCAGGTTTCCTTTCTCCAGCTGTTGAAAGGCCAGTTTTCCAAGCTTCAGAATAATCTGATCAAAAGACACTGCGTTGGCTTTAGGTTCAGAGGCACCACAGTATTTTTCTTCCATCTGTTGCTTCTGAGAAATTAAGAAGCTTGTGTACATCCCTGTGAGAGTTGTGGGAGTTTTGTCATTGCTCTCTTGATCCAGTAGAGGCTGAAGAACAATAAGAGAGATCCAGCAGAAGACGGGGATATGGCACATGATGTACAGGCTCCTGGATTTCTTGATGTGACTGATGAGGTTTCCAGCAACCTCAGGACTGTTTTTGATGAAGTATTGCTCTTTCTGCTCATCGTTAAATCCTCGCACCTCTGTCACTTGATCAATGTAGTCACGGGGAATCAGACTGGCTGCTGCTGGTCTGGAAGTGATCCAGATGAGAGCAGAGGGAAGCAGATGTGCCTTGATAAGGTTTATTATTATATTACTCACTGTTGTTTTTTTGTGAACATTTGTAAATATGTCATCTTCTTTAAAGTTCAAAGTAAAGCGACATTCATCCAGTCCATCAAAGATGAACATAACTTTGCCATCACCTTCAGGAAGAGAGGTCAATTCTTCAGGACTTCTAGAGAAGTATTTGTTGAGCAGTCCCATAAGACTATACTCTTCTTTAATCAAATTCAATCTACGGAATGGAAGTGGAAATATGAAATCTATATCTTGATTTTCTGTTCCTTCAGCCCAGTCAAGGATGAATTTATTGACAGAGACAGTTTTTCCCACTCCTGCGATGCCCGTTGTCAGCACTTTTCTGTTACGACAATCCGTGTCACACTGGACTTTAAACATGTCATTACACTCGATTGGCTTCTCCTTGGCAGTTAATCGGTTGTGAGATTCGATCTGTATCACCTCGTGTTCGTTCACTCTTCCTCCAGTCTCATTCTCCACCACATATAAATCAGTGTAAATATTGTTCAGGTATTCCCGATGACCCGTCTCTGAATTACCAACCAATATCCGACTGTAAGCCTGTTTTAATATGTTCTTCAGTCTGCGGCTGGTCTCTGTGTAATCATGAAGAGTAGCTTGACTGTTGTCTGCAGTTGAGCCTTTAAGAAAGAAGAGAAAAGACAGCAAAGAATAAGTGATCGTATTTTTCATAAAATCAATTATTTTTAAATTAATCACCCTTACTACAATCATGTTTACTTGCACATCTTACACTGATGATGCTGAAATTGACAACATATATGGTGATGGAAATGCCTTGACTAATGCTGACTCGAATGCAATTAGTTTCAATGTAGAAATTAATAAAATAACATTCTTTTTCTGTTTCATTCCTGACCTTTTATTTTACTATCACTATAGGGACTAGGGGTGTAACGATTCACTCGTTTTCTCGATGCATCGATTATAAATCCTGGCGATGCATATGCATCGATCCTGAAACATGTATTTTGAATCGTGAATCGTTTATTTACGTGAATAATCGATTTAAAAGGCTAATAATCGAATTAATCACGATTTTATAGCGATTCAGTGGTTTAAAATATATAAACACAACCTTAAAGTGTTCCTGGTACAAGCTGCCTCACGCATTGGCCGTCATACGACATCCGCATTTGATTGGTTTCAGGCGCTCACACACCCCTGATTTCTCACGCTGAAGCCCGGTCGGTCAAATGCCTGAAAGATGACTTTATCTTTCTACCTGTTGAGCTACTCATGTCGTGATCAGCTTGTATTACCGCAAATTAGTTAAAATCTCCCGGAATCTAGAGCGAGCGTGCATACGAGACAGAGGTTGTGCTCCAAACCGCGTATCGCGCGTTCACACACGGCTGCACGCACTCGGCAGAGAGGGAAAGCGAGCGAGAGACCACCTTGCGTGTACGGAGAGTCCATGTAATAAATGAATAAAAGCGTTTTATTTCATAGTGCCCACGCAATGGCATGGCAGCTTTATCAATGGCTGGAGCGGTTTGCCTCAAAACTATTGCTTTCTCGACAGAGAGCTCAGCTGGAGATCGAGCTCAAACATGGACTGCTCAAAAATCTGTAGTTAACGTTATGAAAGCATGAGAGCTATGGGACCGAGCGCGAGCAAAATCCAGTGAAAAGATGATAACGAGTGCACTGAGAGGACGCAAAATGAAACTAATGAAAACGTCTCCATTAATTTGTGCATGTAGTCATTTAATGCAATACTTTAAAAGCCTTTTTCAAAATATTTGCTACTTGCAAATGCTAATTTGTAGGCCATTGAATTTTTTTTTATAATAATATATTCATTAAAATTAAAAACAAACATGAACTAACATTAACAATGGACAAAATCCCCACTATCTGACCCCCGAAGGCCGCTGTATAGGCTAATTCAAACCCAGACAAAGACCCATTGGGTGAAGCATTAAAATAATACTATAATGCATATAAAAAATTAAGAATCGAATCGAATTAATCGAATCGCATCGAATTTGGATGTGAATCGCATCGAATCGAATCGTTCTGAATTTGCACAAATCGTTCATGAATCGAATCGAAAACCTATGAATCGTGAATCGAATCGATTCGCTGTCTACCCAAAGATTCACAGCCCTAATAGGGACTTATGTCAATGCTGACCAAAATAATTAAACGCTTTTTGATCAAACCATTGACAGCTAGCACACCAAACAAGAAATGAGACTGTATTAGGGTATTTGGGAAATGTGTGTGTGTGTGTGTGTGTGTGAGAGAGAGAGAGAGAGAGAGAGAGAGAGAGAGAGAGAGAGAGAGGGAGAGAGAGAGAAAGACAATATCATTTACTGTGAAACAAAGCACACAAGCAAAGAGGAAAGTTTACAATCAGTCACAGAGAATGAAATATTACCTTGCTTGCATTTGTTCTCCAACCGCTCAGCCAAATCATTCTGGTTCATTTTCCTCAGGATCTCCACTGTGATCTTCCAAGCCTTTTCTGGTCCAAAACATGCTACCATCTTATCCACAGTGTTACATCTATCTGCATTCTCCAATTCACAATTGAATATATGCTCATCCATCTTTAAGTGCCATTGAAACAGCTTCAGATCCTTTTTTCCCAGTTCCATCAGTGAGTTTAACAGCAGCTCTTTAACAGACGCCATCATCCTTTACTGATTCACAGCTGCAAGACAAGAAGGAAAAGATCTGAATTAGTTTCACTCTTAATATGTGGACTTAAGCATTAAAATGTTTTATGGGCTATGAATTAAAGTTGGGACAAATCCAGACTCTCAGAGACACCTCATACAAATTCATCTGTTAAACAGTCACTTATCCCTCATTGACTCACACAAGAGTCACATACAGGGCTTAATTTGTGCCAGATCCAGGCAGAACAGGATACTGGACCTCTCAAGTTTTGACTGAAATTAGGTATTTGCTTAAAACAGTCAAAATTATCTATCAATGGGGTAAGAAACAAAAATCAGTAATGCTTTAGATAACAGCCCAGATAGTACTGCATAAGTAAAATTAATTTAGGCAAGGCAATGCAAGATTATTTGTGTAGCACATTTCATACACAATGGTAATTCAAAGTGCTTTACATAGAAGAAATTTAAATAATCAAAACAAATAATAATTTAAACAGTTTAGAATAAAAAATAAAATAAAGTACCGTAAAAACAGTCGGACGTACAGTGCACAGTGTTCAGTAAATGCATAGCTAAACAGAAGTGTTTTGAGTCTGGATTTGAATGTGACTACTGTAGGAGCACACCTGATCTCTTCTGGAAGCTGGTTCCAGCTGCGGCAGGCATAATAGCTAAAAGCAGACTCTCCATGCTTAGAGTGAACCCTTGGTATTTCTAGCTGATGCCATCCTAATGATCGAGTGATCTGTTAGGTTTATATTCAGTGAGCATATCTGCAATATATTGAGGTCCTAACCCATTGAATGATTTATATACCAGTACTAATACTTTAAATCATTTGATACTTTATCAATCCTAAATGTAACTGGCAGCCAGTGTAAAGACCTGAGGACTGGTGTGATATGTTCATATTTTCTGGTCCTGCTCAGAATCCTGGCAGCAGCGTTCTGTATGAGCTGCAACTGTCTTATGGTCTTTTTAGGAAGGCCAGTGAGGAGGCCATTACAGTAATCCACCCTGCTGGTGATGAAAGCATGTACAAGTCTTGATTGGAAACAAAGACTTGTTCTTCTAATTCTAATTCTTGCAATATTTTTCAGATGATAGTATCCTGATTTAGTTATTGCTTTGACATGACTATTGAAACTAAGGTCTGACTCTAGGGACACACCAAGTTTCCTGACTTGATTTTTAGTTGTTAGACCCCTACCGTCAAGGTATGCATTCACCTTGAGAACTTCATCTTTGTTTCCAAACGCAATGACTTCAGTTTTGTCTTTGTTTAACTGAAGAAATTTTGGCACATCTGCATAGCTGTGGTAAGCAATTTTGTTCTTTCTCATTATTTGTAATGTCTCATTACCTGTAATCATTTCAATGCAGGCAAATGTCAAAGAGTGCGCTGCTGGTATGCACATCTGCAGCTTTTGTGGTGGCACCCATGCTCGCATCATATGTCCAGTCTTCAAGTCTGTGAATAAAATATCAAAAAAATTATTTGGCGACTCTTGTGAATATTTCACGGATGCACTGCGAACTAGCTCATCATCATCCGTCTTATTTTTCATCAAAATGTCCTGAAGTTTCCTATTTACATCAGAAGTTGTTGCTTGTGGAAGGCAGCACGGAGTTGTATCCCAGCTAATAATGTTTCTGATTATCGAGTCACCCATTATTAGAATCCTGTGCTCGGCTAACTTGTAACTTACCAAATAATCTTAATTCAAACAGAAACAAGATTATTTTTCTTACCCCATTGGCAGATACTTTTGAATTGAGCAGAGTAAAACCAAAGAGAGTTAGATTTGCCATCATTTTTTAAAAAGAAGAGTCAGATGATGATCCTTCTGTTGTGAACTTTTTCTTCTAAAGTGTAGGAAACTCAGAAGCGAAGACCAGGAGACTTGTTTGTATATTCAGCAGGATTCTTCATCAAGTCAAGTCAAACTATGGCAGAATATAAAGTTTAAATACCTTTCAAGGGGGAGGGATTACATAGAGGTGGAAACACTCTGAAACAAAGCATGTAAATGAAGTACAGGATTCAGCTCCTTAGCGGAAATTCCCCAGCCCTGATCTCATCAGCATAACAGTGTCATGTATAGATGGTGATTCAATCAGCCTGATTAGATCACTCAAACCATAACATTATCATAGAGACAAAGACCCCGCCTTACTTTGAGAAGTGACAAAAGGTTAATGTCAGCAAGCGGGATTGCTTGACTTTATCTTCTTTAAATCTCATCATCTATGCCTCAAAATTGAAAACACTGTGTACAGTTTAAATACTATTGTATTGGAACCTAATTAAACATTTAAAGGGCACCTATTATGCACCTTTTTACAAGATGTAATATTGTTCTCGGGTGTCCCCAGAATGTATTTGTGAAGTTTCAGCTCAAAATACCCCACAGTTAATTTATTATAACCAGTGGTGGAAAGAGTACTGAAAAAACATACTCAAGTAAAAGTACCATTACATTCCAATAAATGTAGTGTGAGTAGAGTAAAAAGTACTTGTCCAAAAAACTACTTGAGTAAGAGTAAAAAAGTAGCTTATTTAAAAATACTCAAGAGTAGTGAGTAGTGAGTACTGAGGTGCGGATTCTACCCCTTATAATAAACACTGCACTACAATTTATAAATAAAAAAACTGCACATACTGGAATTCACATTATATTTTGTTCTTTGTAAGAAAGATTGAAGAATATCTATCATCCATCTTTTTAAAATGCATCAAATCAGTACACTCATCACCATTTAAATCATATTATTTGGGGGGAAAAGCATTTAAAATTAGGCGAAAAGCCACTGGGCCTGAGCATGTTATTGTTGCACATAAAATATCAATATTCATAACTGTGCAAAGAATTCAAAAACCTTTAGAAACTCATATGATAGTTCAGCATCACACACCAAGAGATGGGTTAAATAAAATAAAAAATACCCAATTTCTCTACAAACCGTTACCAATGTTAGTGTTTTGATAAATGAGAATCACTAATATTATCATATTACCTCAACTAATGCACTGAAAAAGGCTAAGATAGTGAGCTAACACTAATTGCACACTTTTATTCCATGCTATTAAATATGTTACAATTTAAACGTAAATGCACATTGTTCTAGAAGGGTGGCATCATCCCTTACATTTTACACGGCTACATTTACTCACATTGTAATGCTGATAATATAAATTGTAAGGAAAATCGTGCATTAAATAGGGAAGTTATATCCAGGAAACCTTTACAAAAGAAACAAACACACTTTGTCTCTAAAGTCTCGGCTAAGCTGTTTTATAAGCAGCATCCACAAAAAAAAAAAAAAAAAAAAAAAAAAGTTCAGCATGAAAAATGTTTTTGCGCAAGTGCACTTGCCAAATGAAGACGGATCATATAATGGATCAATCAAAAAACGCTGTTTATTAACGAGCTGTGATAATTTCTTATTAAGTAATGCGGTTCAAGTTAACGACATGGTGCACTGATTCTGAATCTGGCGGCATGGCGAGCGCGAGACGCGGCAGTGCACAGATCGTGACGCGCGTCTCTCCTGTGATTGTGAAGTAAATGGGAGCGGGAATTCACCGCATTATGAACTCGTCTCGCAATTCCCCCAACCTCAGACCAAATGTTAGGCCATGTAGACAGGCCAGCCTATATAAATATCATATTAAGCAGAAATGTGCAATGTACCTTAGCATATTAGAGGAAGATGCTGATATCTGGATTGAATTGATGCGTGATGAATGCACTTCCACAGCAGTCACGAGTAACAGCAGGAATAGGCGGTTACAGTTTTCTATGCTTAATTTGATTTGATGACAGTCACGAGACCGATTACTCGATCCAATCACGTTGATGGATAAAAATAAAATTAAAACAAGCATGTAACGAGTAACGGCCACAAACAGAAGGAAAATAGCGGAGAAAAAGTACCGATACATCACTTAAAATGTACTCAAGTAAAAGTAAAATTACACCATTTTAAACTTACTCAAAAAAGTAAAATTTCTGAAAAAAACTACTTAATTACAGTAACGTGAGTATTTGCAATTCGTTACTTTACACCCCTGATTATAACCATTTGAAAATGTCATTTTGGGGCCTGCTTAAAAATGAGCTGTTTCGGGGGTATACGACTTTAAATGCAAATGAGCTGCATATCCCCGCCCTACCTTTGGATGAGGGCGTAACTTGATACCTATGGCAGTCGGTACTGAGAGACTGAGAGAAACCGCTGTTTTGAATGTCATTCAGCGTACGTTTGAATCGGAATATATAAATAGTACGAAGAGACTCCGGCAGAATAAACACAAATGAGAACGGACCAGTACGTCTCGGTATGGTTATTTGATACATTTATGTACTTATAGAGTTGTAATCGCGTCCCATTTGCAATTATGGATGTGGAACACACACACACACAAACAAACACTAACGCTGGCGCAATTTTTTAAAACTACATACACATTCTGTGATAAAGTTTGCTACGTACAAGTGAAATTACATTTATGTAATGTATCATACAGGTGTATCATACCTGTAACCTGTATCATACAGGTGCTTCTGTGGCAAATGTGAGAAGATGGCTAACTTACAGAACAACAACATATATGCAGTTTTTAATACAATATCTTTAAAAAAAAATATATACATATATATATATATATATATATATATATATATATATTTATAAGCGTGTGGTTACACACTATACGAACAAGGTTTAAATTATATAGCCTACACAGACAACCTACGACAACAACTTTAGACGCATTTGTTGTTGAATTGGCTTCCATAGACATCGACTGAAAAGACTATTTGCTCAGTGTTTTGTGAAAAATATACAGTCTACACACACACATATTGCACACTGAATGTCATTATAGAGAAATTATTGTGCCTTAGTTATGAAATCAATTCTTTCTGTTGTCATAGCCATAGGCCCTACCTATTATGAAACAGCGCGTCTGTCGTAACCCATAACTCACTAAAATCTCCATTCTAAGCAAGCGTTCACAATATAA